CCCACTGGATTATACCAGTTGAGAAGTTGTAACATTCACATGCTTTGAAATCATTGAGAAACGCCAATTGGCTAATGTCCAACAAGCTGTGTCAACAATAAACTAAAAGTACACCTATCATGCTTGAGTGGCACAGTGCCTTCACTGACTCTTCTGTTGACAACATGCACATAACTTAAAAGCATACTGTAACAGCGGCAGCCTCTTAGAAGTTTGACTTTCACAATAACTTACTGACAAGAAGTTTTCAGTTATAAAATGACAATTTCACAGCAATAAGTTCCCATTAAGTTACTGGAAAATGCACAGTAACCTCTTCACAGTGCAGCACATTACTGACAGGGCCTCATCCAAAGTTTGCAGAACAGACAGTGTCAAAGCAGATGACCTACATGCATTGACATAACCATCAAACACTTAAACTCCTACAACACTTCCACTGATGGTTGGCACATACAGTACCAGTCAAAAGTTTGGACACCTATTCAGGGTTTTTCTTAATTTTTACTATTTTCTACATTGTATAAAAATAGTGAAGACATCAACACTATGAAATAACACATATGGAATAGTGTAGTAACCAAAAAAGTGTCATACAAATCAAAGTATATTTTTTATATTTGATTCTTCAAAGTAGCCACCCTTTGCCTTGATGACAGCTTTGCACACTCTTGGCATTCTCTCAACCAGCTTCACCTGGAATGCTTTTCCAACAGTCTTGAAGGAGTTCCCCCATATGCTGAGCACTTGTTGGCTGCTTTTCATTCACTCTGCAGTCCAACTCTTCCGAACCATCTCAATTGGGTTGAGGTTGGGTGATTGTGGAGGCCAGGTCATCTGATGCAGCACTCCATCACTCTCCTTCTTGGTCAAATAGCCCTTACACAGCCTGGAGGTGTGTTGGGTCATTGTCCTGTTGAAAAACAAATGATAGTCCCACTATGCGTAAACCAGATGGGATGGCATATCACTGCAGAATGCTGTGATAGGCATGCTGTTTAAGTGTGCCTTGAATTCTAAATAAATCACCAGCAAAGCACCCCCACACCATCACACCTCCTCCTCCTTGTTTCACAGTAGGAACCACACATGCGGAGATCATCCGTTCACCTACTCTGCGTATCACAAAGACACGTCGGTTGGAACCAAAAATCTCAAATTTGGACTCATCAGACCAAAGGACAGATTTCTGGTGTTTCTTGGCCCAAGCAAGTCTCTTCTTATTATTGGTGTCCTTTAGTAGTGGTTTCTTTGCAGCAATTCGACCATGGAGGCCTGATTCACGCAGTCTCCTCTGAACAATTGATGTTGAGATGTCTGTTACTTGAACTCTGTGAAGCATTTATTTGGGCTTCCATTTCTGAGGCTGGTAACTTTAATTAACTTATCCTCTGCAGCAAAGGTAACAATGTGTCTTCCATTCCTTTGGCGGTCCTCATGAGAGCCAGATTCATCATGGCACTTGATGGTTTTTGCAACTGCACTTGTAGAAACTTTCAAAGTTCTTGAAATGTTACGTATTGACTGACCTTCATGTCTTAAAGTAATGATGGACTGTTGTTTCCTGTAGTAATGATGGACTGTTGTTTCCTGCCTCCTGTAGCTCAGTTTGTAGAGCATGGCGCTTGCAACGCCAGGGTTGTGGGTTCGATTCCCACGGGAGGCCAGTATGAAAAATGTATGCACTCCCTAACTGTAAGTCGCTCTGGATAAGAGCGTCTGCTAAAATGTAAATGTAAATGTTTCTCTTTGCTTTTTTGAGCTGTTCTTGCCATAATATGGACTTGGTCTTTTACCAAATAGGGCTATCTTCTGTGTACCACCCCTACCTTGTCACAACACAACTGATTGGCTCAAATGCATTACGAAGGAAAGAAATTCCACAAATTAACATTTAACAAGGCACACCTGTTAATTGAAATGCATTCCAGGTGACTACTTCATGAAGCTGGTTAAGAGAATGCCAAGAGTGTGCAAAGCTGTCATCAATGCAAAGGGTGGCTACTTTGAAAATATATTTTGATTTGTTGAACACTTTTTTGGTTAATACATGATTCCATATGTGTTATTTCATAGTTCTGATGTCTTCACTACTATTCTACAATGTAGAAATAGTACAAAATAAAGATAAAACGTTGGATGAGTAGGTGTGTCCAAACTTTTGACTGGTACTGTATGTACAGTGAGGGAAAAAAGTATGGGATTAAGGTCTGGAGACTGGCTAGGCCACTCCAGGACCTTAATGTGCTTCTTCTTGAGCCACTCCTTTTTTGCCTTGGCCGTGTGTTTTGGGTCATTGTCATGCTGGAATACCCATCCACGACCCATTTTCAATGCCCTGGCTGAGGGAAGGAGATTCTCACCCAAGATTTGACGGTACATGGCCCCGTCCATCGTCCCTTTGATGCGGTGAAGTTGTCCTGTCCCCTTAGCAGAAAAACACCCCCAAAGCATAATGTTTCCACCTCCATGTTTGACGGTGGGGATGGTGTTCTTGGGGTCATAGGCAGCATTCCTCCTCCTCCAAACACGGCGAGTTGAGTTGATGCCACATCACTTTCACCCAGTTCTCCTCTGAATCATTCAGATGTTCATTGGCAAACTTCAGACAGCCCTGTATATGTGCTTTCTTGAGCAGGGGGACCTTGCGGGCGCTGCAGGATTTCAGTCCTTCACGGCGTAGTGTGTTACCAATTGTTTTCTTGGTGACTATGGTCCCAGCTGCCTTGAGATCATTGACAAGATCCTCCCGTGTAGTTCTGGGCTGATTCCTCACCGTTCTCATGATCATTACAACTCCACGAGGTGAGATATTGCATGGAGCCCCAGGCCGAGGGAGATTGACAGTTATTTTGTGTTTCTTCCATTTGCCAATAATCGCACCAACTGTTGTCACCTTCTCACCAAGGTGCTTGGCGATGGTCTTGTAACCCATTCCAGCCTTGTGTAGGTCTACAATCTTGTCACTGACATCCTTGGAGTGCTCTTTGGTCTTGGCCATGGTGGAGAGTTTGGAATCTGATTGATTGATTGCTTCTGTGGACAGGTCTCTTTTATACAGGTAACAAGATGAGATTAGGAGCACTCCCTTTAAGAGTGTGCTCCTAATCTCAGCTCGTTATCTGTATAAAAGACACCTGGGAGCCAGAAATCTTTCTGATTGAGAGGGGGTCAAATACTTATTTCCCTCATTAAAATGCAAATCAATTTATAACATTTTTGACATGCGTTTTTCTGGATTTTTGTTGTTGATATTCTGTCTCTCACTGTTCAAATAAACCTACCATTAAAATTATAGACTGATCATTTCTTGGTCAGTGGGCAAACGTACAAAATCAGCAGGGGATCAAATACTTTTTTCCCTCACTGTACATATATTCGACCACGCCCCAAAATATGCTAATTCTTCAGAATACAGCAGCGTACTGTCATTTTATAGAAATAACCTCTTCCAGTTGTTGTATATATTTACTTTAAAAAAGTACAGAAATGTATTCTTGCCAATCTCCATTATGTCTACAGACATGGTGCGCAGCAGGAACTTAAGGTAGCTAGAAATTAAGAGGTTGTGAGTTCAAATCCCATTTTCGGTTTAGTTCCAAGCAATCAGCATAATGTCCTCTAACACCTGAATTTAGCTGTACAAATACACTGACTAGTTTTAGATTTACCGTATTTTCACAGCAACTAGACAAAAACATCCAGGGGACCATGACACAACGTTCTAAAATTGTCCCTGGAACTAACCGGGAACTCACACACACTCACGGTGGCAGGTAGCCTAGCGGTTAAGAGTGTTTTAATCCCTAAACCGACTAGGTGAAAAATCTGTTTTAGTGCACTTGAGCAAGGCACTTAACCCTAGTTGCTCTGGATAAAATCGTCTGCTAAATGACGTAAATGTAAAATGTAACTAGACAAAACCTGCAGGGGACCATGACTGTTTAAATGTAATTAATGCCAATTATGCCTTTCAAAGTAAAATATTCTAAATTATATTTGACACCTAGGTTTTCACGTGCTCAAATGTTGTCAGGTGTAGTGTTATGGTATCACATGTTGAAATGTTGCATCCCCATGTTGTCACATTTATTTCACATGAATTTTACATGAGATCATGTTCTCACATTTGCTCACATGTTGTCACGTGTAGTTTTATGTTATCACATTAACTTCACATTAAATCACATGATCACATGAGATCACACAAGATCACGTGTTCACACGTGTTCATGTGAAATTCATGTGGTTTTTCCATAAGGGATCCTCTGTCTGTACCAGCATTGTGTTAGTTGGGTGGACGGAGCTTTGTCCTGAGAGTGTGTGTGTTCTATGGTTCTAGGCTAATTGGTCAGGTCAATGGTGTGTGTAGAAGGTCAGGGACAGCATGTACTCTCCTAAAGCAGTTACAACGCCCTCAGCTAGGACATAGCCCTAGCATGATTACATTTAACTTTCTCATTTAACTTTCTGCAGCACACAAGCTCTCGCACACGTGCGCACGCACACACACACACACATACACACATGCGCACACACACACACACCGGACACGCACACGCGCGTACACATGCACACACGCACACACACACACAGTAACCTTAATTTTAGCAGAGATCTAAAGACACACTCAGCAGTGACTTAGAAGGGACATGAAATCTTTGTTGGGACAGACAGAGTTATTCCTGTGCACCTTCTCCAGTTCTGCTCCTGTTTATGTACTAAATGGCTATTTTCTGTTGTTCTGTGTGTGTCTGTCTGTGTACTGTTATGAGTTTATTCTTTATACGTGTGTTGTTACTGTTTCGTTTAACAATAGCATGATTTTGGTGCTTAATTTTCAGTAATTTAGAATTTGTAGAGGTTATAGACCTTACATTTGCGTTCCAATCGTTGGTCATTTTTAATTGTGTTAGAGCTGAAAGCATACTGTAATATCTGCACATCGAAACAACACCGACAAACACAACAACAACGGTTTGTTTGTTTGTTCCATGCAGACATTCTGTGAGTGTGTACCCAGCTCCTCCCAGCTCAAACACCGCTGGTCAGACTCAGACACAGTCAGAGAGACCCCCTCACCCACCAAGGTAAGAACACACACACCTCACCTCTCTCTCACACACACCTATAACACAAACACACATGCAGGCTACTAGACCCACCCGATTACTCACTTACACCTCAAACTTCTAATATTGCACCCCAACCTGCCCAATGTTAAAACTCTACACATTGTAGTGCCCCACTGTGAACGTCACACCAAACTATTTGTTATAGTGCATTCCTCAAATGCAAGCTTGCTCATTATATTTCTCACATCCTAAAATAATGATGAATTATCTCATATTCAGTAGTACAGTTATATGTTATATATGAAATGTGTTTGTAGAAAGATGAAAGTCCTCTAATGTAACTCATGTGACTTATCATGCGGCAAGTAGCCTGGCGTTTAGAAAGGCGAGCAAGCAACCAGAATGTTGACAGTTTGAATCCCGGGTCTGATTGGAAAAATCTGGCGCGAAGTGAGCTGGCAACTGGAGGGTTGCTGGTATCAAATCCTAGATGCCATAGCCTGCCGTTGTGCACTGGAGAAGGCACTTAAGCCCCCAAAACAGCTGCTCCACTTGTGCTGAATGTATGTGTGTCTTTCAGAGGAGATAGGATAAAGCGGAAGTCACATTTCTGTTGGACCTTGTGTATAACTGGACAAATAGAGTAATCTTAAAGACTAGGCTAATGTAGCTCTAAAGGCTAACTTGGGTCTAATGGAGCTCTAAAGCCTATGCTTACTGGGTCTAATGTAGCTCTAAAGCCTAGGCTAACTTGAGTCTAATGTATCTCTAAAGACTAGGCTGACTTGGGTCTAATGTAGCTCTAAAGCCTAGGCTAACTTGAGTCTAATGTAGCTCTAAAGTCTAGGATAACTTTGGTCTAATGTAACTCTAAAGGCTAACTTTAGTCTAATGTAGCTCTAAAGCCTAGGCTAATTGAGTCTAATGTAGCTCTAAAGCCTAGGCTAACTTGAGTCTAATGTAGCTCTAAAGTCTAGGTTAACTTTGGTCTAATGTAACTCTAAAGCCTAGGCTAACTTGAGTTTAATGTAGCTCTAAAGCTTAACAAGAGTCTTCAGGTCTCAGGCACGGTTAGTCATCAAATGAGCATGGTTCACCCGGGTTCTTATTCCAGCCATTGTCACAGATGGAGATTTGAAGTGTTCTCATTGAGAGGAGAGGAGAGGGGAGAGGATGGCTTAAGCATTTTCCTATCAGTAGCTGTAGAGAACAGCACAGCACGGCTCAAGTGTTAATAACATATAATTTTTTATTTTATTTGTGTTGTCACGGTATGGCTGTGGCACTTTCTCTCTTTCTGGCTTTCACTCTCTCTGTCTTGGCCTGTCCCCATCCGCCTCTCTCTGAGGAGAGGATGATGAGTACTGAGGTGCTCATCTACATGGAGGATTAGGGCTCCTTCACGACGACAGCCTCGCCCCGTCAGTGTCTCCATCACCATGGTGATCACATTCAGGGGATTATCGCATATTAAACGTCACATTTGACAATGGAGCAGAACAGGTGGCAAAGCCTGACTCAAAAGAACTACCCCAAATAACCATGGATTTAGCTTGTGTTGCTTTTCACTTAAAAGCAGAAATGATCGTAACAGGATCTGAGTGCATGTGGGGTGGTACAGAATATTAATGTGTGTGTGGAGGTCTGTGGGTTTTGCATGTATGTATGTAGGTATGTGTGTGTGTGTGATCTCTGCTGTATCTCCTGTGGTTTTATACTTACCTAATGAGCGGATGGAGCCCGTCATCCAGCCACCAGCCAATGACCCAGTAGTGTCCCCACAAGGAGGTTTTGCCTCCCAGTGTGTCTCCTGTCATCCCAGAGTAAGCTGTCTGAAACAGAAGAGAGGGAGAAAGTAAAATAGAGACAGAGAGAGGGGGGAGAGAAGGGGAGAGAGACAGAGTGCGAGAGAGGTAGAGAGAGCAATGTTCAGAGGCCATTAATATTTAGTGTGCAATAGGAGATGGCTTTCACCCATACCTTCCCCCTCTGGCCAACATATAGTCAGAGCCAAATGAAACTGTTATCACTGCTGCTTCTCTACAGACTGTTACGAAAAGGCTAAAGCAAATGCAATGCAAGCAAACACACACACACAAACACACACAAACGCACAGACAAACACATACGCTACAGGACTGTTTCTCTAGCACAGACTGGAATATGTTCCGGGATTCATCCGATGGTATTGAGGAGTTTACCACATCAATCACCAGCTTCATTAATAAGTGCATCGACGACGTTGTCCCCACAGTGACTATACGTACATATCCCAACCAGAAGCCATGGATTACAGGCAACATCCGCACCGAGCTAAAGGCTAGAGCTGCCGCCTTCAATGAGCGGGACACTTAAAATGATCCTACTACACCGGCTCTAATGCTCGATGGATGTGGCTGGGCTTGCAAACTATCATGGATTACAAAGGGAAACCAAGCCGCGAGCTGTCCAGTGACTAGAGCCTACCAGACAAGCTAAATACCTTCTGTGTGTGCGTCGAGGCTAGCAACACTGAACTATACATGAGAGCACCAGCTGTTCCAGACGACTGTGCTGTCACGCTTTCCGTAGCCGATGTGAGTAAGACCTTTAAACAGGTTAACGTTCACAAGGCTGCAGGGTCAGATGGATTTCCTGGACGCGTACTCAGAGCATTCGCTGACTAGCTGGCAAGTGTCTTCACTGACATTTTCAGCCACTCCCTGACTCAGTCTGTAATACTTACATGTTTCAAGCAGACCAATAACTCCAAGGTAACCTATATAAATGACTATCGCCCCATATCACTCACATCTGTAGCCATGAAATGCTTTGAAAGGCTGGTCATGGCTCACATCAACACCATCATCCCAGACACCCTGGACCCACGCCAATTGGCATACCGCCCCGACAGATCCACAGATGACGCAATCTCTATTGCACTCCACACTGACCTTTCCCACCTGGACAAAAGGAAAACCTACGTGAGAATGATGTTCATTGAGGTGGCTGGAAGTCTATGGGTATCTACTAGCATGCAGCATGTGTGTCAAACAGTTTTCTCATTATTTGGTTGGGTCTAATTGTGTTGCTGTCCTAGGGCTCTGTGTTTGTTAATCTCTCTCTCTCTCTCTCTCTCTCTCTCTCTCTCTCTCTCTCTCTCTCTCTCTCTCTCTCTCTCTCTCTCTCTCTCTCTCTCTCGCTCTCTCTCTCTCTCTCTCTCTCTCTCACCAGGCACCTATCTGTCCCCACCCACTTTCCTTCCTTACTCAGCAGCATCCTCTACTCCTGGACTCTGTTGTTGTCAGGAATCAAACTATTGTTTGTGTTATGCACCTCGTGGCTTTGTTCCTCTCCAATGAGTTTGGATGCATATGTTTTCTTTATGTGCTCTGTGTGAATGTGTCTGTGCACAGGATAAACACGCTGAGAGTGAACATAGCCATGACGTCCACATCTGTGCAGATAGACTATGAATAAACACAGTGATGAAGAAGTGCTTCCTGGAAAACAGGGTGTATTTCCCAGAGAGCCTCACGGTGATAAAACTCCAAAATAAATTGCAGGTTGGCGTTTATTGGGGTGAGTCTTGTCCTGGAGGCAGAACTGAGCAATTTCCACTAGATGGGCCAGCTGCAAAGTAAAATTGGCTATATTGTAAAAATTATTGAAAACAAAAAATATGTATGTCTCTACTTCCCCAGAGTCAGATGAACTTGTGGATACCCTTTTTATGTCTCTGTTTCCAGTATCAAGGAAGTTAGATGTAGTTTTGTGAGCCAATGCTAACTAACATTAGCACAATGGCTGCATGCTAGTAGATATGTTTGTGTGTGTGTGTGTGTGCGAATTACTTTAGATATTGTTTTTATAAATATAAAAGTAATATCTAAAGAAATTCACACACACTCACACACACTCCTAGACTATTATACAGCATAAGAAAATCCACTGTAAGTCAATGGCGAGTGAGGCCTGCTACAGCATTCTCCCTTTAACTCCCTCTCTCACAAGCACACGTGTGTACACACATACCACAGACATCAATGCACACCCACGTGTATAATCTGTATAATCTATGCTAGGAGTGTGTGTGAGTGTACGTGTGGATTTCCTTTGATATTGTTTTTATTTATATTGGTACAGACAATTATTAAGATTGTAACATGTTTAAGACTTGAGAAAGAGAAAATAACTGATAAAATGACTCCAAATAATTTGCTTATACTGCATATACTCTAGGTGTGTGTGTGAGAGAGAGCGTGTACATTTATTTAGATTGTAGTGGGTGATTTTGGACGGAGTCAGGCGCAGGAGGGTAAATCACAGTATGTATGGTTTATTCAGCGGTACGCAGCAATGCGTAAGACACTCCAGTGCGGTAAATACGGCGCACTGGAGAAAAACAAGGCACACGGGTTAATATCCCGGTGATACAAAATACAAAGTAGCTCCACCGAACTAGAGTCACCTCCACAATAAACAATCACACACAAATACAGGGGGCCAGAGGGAACACTTATACAGGTACTGATGAGGGGATATGAACCAGGTGTGTGTAATAAACAAGACAAAACAAATGGAATGATGAGATGAGGAGCGGCAGTGGCTAGAAGGACGGTGCCGACCGCCGAAGCCTGCCCGAACAAGGAGGGGAGGCAGCTTCAGAGGAAGTCGTGACAGTACCCCCTTGACACGCAGCTCCAGCAGCGCGCCGACACCGGCCTCGGGGACGGCCATGGTGGTGTTACCCTGAGAGAGGGGAAGATTGGTTAGGAAGTCAATAGACAAGTGGGACCATGGCCGTTGTGGAACTGGTAAGCGATGTAACTTACCCGCTGGGAGGTGCCTAGGTGCCTTACTCTGGGCGCACACCGAGCAGGAGGAGACATACACCTCACGTCCTTAACCAAGGTAGCCACCAGTACTTCCCGGTCAGACAGCGTGCTGTACGACCGATACCTGGATGACCAGAGGAGGGAGACGTGTGTGCCCAATAGATAAGACGGTCACGGACAAGAGACGGCACGTACCGTAGACCACCTGGGCACTGAGTTGGAGATGGCTCTGTGCGTAACTCCCGCTCTATGTCCGCGTCCACTGCCCACACTACCGGCGCCACAATGCGGGAGGCCGGGAGTATGGGGGTGTTGTCTATGGGCCTCTTCTCTGTGTCGTACAGCCGTGACAGCGCGTCTGCCTTCACGTTCTTAGTACCTGGTATGTATGACAATGTGAAATCAAACTGGGTGAAGAACAAGGCCCACCTGTGTTCAGCCTCCTCGCTGCCCGGATGTACTCCAGGTTACGGTGGTCAGCCCAGACGAGGAAAGGGTGTTTAGCCCCCTCGAGCCAGTGCCTCCACGCGGTCAGGGCTCTGACCACAGCCAACAGCTCCCGATCACCAACGTCATTTTTCTGCTCCGCTGGGCTGAGCTTCTTCGAGAAGAAGGCACAGGGGCGGAGCTTGGGTGGCGTGCCCGAGCGTTGGGATAGTACAGCGCCTACCCCTACCTCGGACACATCCACCTCCACTACAAACGGCAATGATGAATCGGGATGGGCCAGTACCGGGGCTGAGGTGAACAGAATCTTCAGGTTACTGAAAGCCCTGTCAGCCTCAGCAGATCAGCGGAGCTGGGACAGCCCACCCTTCAACAGAGAGGTGATGGGAGCTGCGACCTTGCCAAAGCCCCGGATAAACCTCCGATAGTAATTGGCAAAGCCAATGAAGCGCTGCACCTCCTTCACCGTGGTTGGGGTCGGCCAATTCCGACACGGCGGAAATGCAGTCTCCCTCCATCTCCACACCTGAGGTGGTGATGTGGTATCCGAGGAAGGAGACGGACTGATGGAAGAACAGACACTTTTCTGCCTTGGCATATAGGTTATTCTCCAACAGTCGGCCCAGCACTTTGCGAACCAGGGACATGAACCAGGTGTGTGTAATAAACAAGACAAGACAAATGGAATGATGAGATGAGGAGCAGCAGTGGCTAGAAGGCCGGTGATGACGAACGCCGAAACCTGCCCAAAGCAAAGGGTCTGAATACTTATGTAAATAAGGTCTTTTATTTTAATTGTTATGGGGTATTATGTGTAATTTCATCAATTTTAGAATAAAGGCTGTAATGTAACAAAATGTGGAAAAAGTCAAGGAGTCTGAATACTTTCAGAATGCACTCTCTCTCTCTCTCTCTCTCTCTCTCTCTCTCTCTCTCTCTATATATATATATATATATATATATATATATATATATATATATATATATATATGGACAGTTTAACATGTATTCATTCACATGACTTGATTCATGACTTTAAATGTGTAAACAAAACAGTAACCCCATGTGTCCAAAGACTAAATATAGTATGATACAGATACGGTTGTAGTTCACAAACGTCAATAATTTCAATCATATATTTGGCATATTTGAAAAAAACATAATGTATATGATTTTGAAGTGTCTGTCCATATAGGAGATATAAGAAAGCTCAGGAAATGTTTTTGTTATTTTTTACACATATTTAACCCCTTGTTAATTGGGGCACAAAACTACCTCCGTACTTCCATTCGTTTGTGTGGGTTACATTCAGACAAGTCCTGTGACACTTGTGGGGGTTGTAGAGCAAAACAGACAACACCATCATGTTCGCAAGAGTCTCCCCATTCCAGAGTGGTCATATAATAATAATAATAATAATAATAATAATAATAATAATAATAATAATAATAATAATAATTTGTAGGCCAAACCGTTTTCGTGAGAAGACCAATTTCCGGGATGTCTCACGGTCTGACAAACACTGCTGTAGCTCGGCCACCTTCCACCAAAAATGCAAAAGACCACCATAGTCGGATGTGGTGGATTGAAACACACCCCATACACAACACCTGATATCTCCATCTTAAATTTATGGATTTTGATGGGGATTTCTTTATTGTGTTACTTAGATTGATGAACTGGTGCGTCAATGGACTATTAAGGATTAAACAGGCCAAATAACGATACTATATGATTTTAAACAATTAAATTCTGAAATGTATTTCAAAATATATTTTTCACATTTTCTCAAAATCCCAACTTTGATTGACACTGGAAGTATGATAAATAATGACAATCTTAAAATGTCAACGTGGCCTTTGTAGACACTTGTACCAACTATACTGAGCAAAAATATAAACGCAACATGCAACAATTTCAAGGATTTTACTGAGTTACAGTTCATATAAGGAAATCAGTCAATTGAAATAAATTCATTAGGCCCTAGTCTATAGATTTCACATGAATGGGCAGGGGCACAGCCATGGCATTTTCACCAAACAGAATTTGTTCAGTGGTACATTTTGATAGTGTACTAAATATATTACAAGGACGTGAATGGGTTAAGGGAATGTTCTCCTAACTCTAAAACCAAAACATGCTTAAAAGGTTCTCAGAAGGTTTTGCTATTATAGATTGAATGTTCCCCTAACTAAATGAAAACTGGACACTCAAACATTCAGGGAACATTACGGGTAACATTACAAAAACGTTCTCTCTCTCTCCAGAATTGTTAGCTGGGAAATAAGTGTAATTAAGTGTGTTTAATGTGAAGGTGGATATGGGTAGTTAATTGTGTAATGGTAGAGTAGGACAAACTGCTCTCTCCTCTATCTACTCTATACACAGATGGTAATGGCAATGTATCCCTGAGCGACAAGATGGCTCCCGATTGTAAAAGCTTTTTTTTGTTTCTGGTTAATGACACCATAGCAGTGTCAAAATGTTCTCTCTTTCTCTCTCTTCTCACACACTTCATCTCTCTCTCTTCATATGTATCTCTTACTCACTTATTTCTATGAGTTTGTGTCTCACTTTCTCGCTCACACTTTCTCTGTCTCTGTCTCCCGTGCTCTCTCTCCCCTTCTCTCTCCTCTCTCCCGTTCTTTCTCTTTGAAGTGGGAGTGAGAATTGAACCTGGTTCCCTGCTGTGTTTTTTCCCCAGAGGTGTTTTAAACTGGGACTCTTTTCAATATTCTCTTCAATAAGCTACATATCTCTTTTCTTCTCTTCAAAAACTACATGTTCCAGAAAACATGTCTTATATCGGGCTTCTTCCAACTTTCATACTTTTGATGTGTGCATTTTGTTGCGGGTTGGGTTTTGATGCAGTAGTAGTGAATGGTGGTTAATGAGATATAGGAGAGAGAAATTGCGCATGAGTTGTGAAATGTGACGCCTTTAAAATAAAAAAATCCTGTAAACACTGCTAATCTTCAATTAGAGGTTACCGAATGACAAAGCTACAGACATATCCAGAAAGAATCCGCATTTTTTTTGCTCTAACATTCCACTTTTCTTTTGTCCCTGCCTTCCATAGAGGATGAGCTGCAGCTACCTTCTGTGCACCATCCTCCTCTTCGTAGCCGTCCTACTCGCTGTCACGGTAACCGGCACCATCCTCTTCATGAACCACAACCAGGCCCCACCCATGTCCGACGGCCCTCCCCACATCTCCACCAATCAGGACGAGGCCAACGCCCTGGTCACTGTGGAGAGGGGCGACGGCTCACGCATCAACATCTTTATTGACCCCAACTGTCCCGACTACAATGGGAACTTCCTGCGCCTGGAGGGGGTGCAGACGTCGCTGCTCCACTCGCTGACCGACCACGACACCGACCTGAAGTCCGTCAAAGGTCAGGACCGGGCGCTGCTAGTCAACCTAGCTGAAGAGGTGGCCAAACTGTCGGCCCACGCTGGTCAGCTGAAGATGGACTACGAGTCTCTGAGACGAGGCCAGGGGAGTCTAGGACAGGACCTGAACACACTGCAGACAGAGCAGGGACGCCTCATACAGGTGAGATACTACACACTACAGACATGTTGCCCAATGTACTGAGACACACTCAACACTAGTCTGGAACAAGAGTCTCAGAGATGAGGACAGGGGAGTTTGGGTCAGGACCTGAACACTGCAGACAGAGCAACACTGTAAAATAAATCTAGTTGATTCAACCTATTATCATTTAGTCACTGGTTCCACAGCCTTTTTTAGTTTACTAAACTTTTCGGTCAAAGCGTTACCTGAACTAAAAAAACTGTTTGGCCCAAACTTGAGAAAATGTTCAATTAGTGCTTTTAACATACAATGTTTTCAAATGATATATTTACATTTTAGCAGACACTCTTATCCAGAGCGACTTACAGTTAGTGAGTGCATACATGTTTTCATACTGGCCCCCCGTGGGAAACGAACCCACAACCCTGGCGTTGCAAGCGCCATGCTCTACCAACTGAGCTACAGGGGACATGTTGTGTATGTTCATTTATACAGTAATTATTATTCAACATGTCCCTTCCTGAGATTTGAACTTATAACCTCGTAATTCACAGGTAAGGACTTGTTACATCATAATTACTGTATAAATGAACACGCACAATGTTGATGTGTGTCAAATATGTACGTTCGAAACATAGAATTTTAAAAGCATGGTGGGTGTCCCTAACCAAAGTTTTCTGAACTTGGAGCTAAGTTTGGGCCTAACAAAAATAAGTTCAGGTAAACTATAAAAGACTGTGGAACCAGTTACAAAAGAATTATTACACTGAACTAGAATATAAACGCAACATGCAACAATTTCAACGATTTTACTGAATTACAGTTCATATAAGGAAATCAGTCAATATAAATACATTCATTAGACCCTAATCTATGGATTTCACATGACTGGGCAGGGGCGCAGCCATGGGTGGGCCTGGGAGGGCATAAGTCTACCCACTTGGGAGCCAGGCCCACCCACTGGTGAGCCAAGCCCAGCCAATCAGAATGAGTTTTTCCCCACAAAATGCCTTTATTACAGACAGAAATACTCCTCAGCTTCATCAGCTGTCCAGGTGGCTAGTCTCAGACGATCCCGCAGGTGAAGAAGCCAGATGTGGAGGTCCTGGGCTGGCGTGGTTACACGTAGTCTGTGGTTGTGAGGCCGGTTGGACGTACTGCCAAATTCTCTAAAACAATGTTGGAGGCGGCTTACTGTAGAGAAATGAACATTTTATTCTCTGGCAACAGCTCTGGTGGACATTCCTGCAGTCAGCATGCCAATTGCATACTTCCTCAAAACTTAAGACATCTGTGGCATTGTGTTGTTTGACAGCACAAGGTGCACCTGTGTAATGATAATTCTGTTTAATTAGCTTATTGATATGACACACCTGTCAGGTGGATGGATTATCTTGGCAAAGGAGAAACACTCACTAACAGTGATGTAAACAAATTTGTACACACAATTTGAGAGAAATAAGCTTTTTGTGGGTATGGACATTTTCTGGGATCCATTATTTTAGCTCATGAAATATGTGACCAACACTTGACATGTTGTGTTTAGATTTTTGTGCAGTATAATTGAATCAACTAGATTTGTTTTACATTGAGGGACACCTCATACAGGTGAGATACTGAAAATATTGGTGCACACACCGATACATATTGTCGTGACGTGACTTTCATTATTGTGATGACTATTATTTATCGAATATTTATTTATTTTATTTATTTAACCTTTATTTAACCAGGTAAGCCAGTTGAGAACAAGTTCTCATTTACAACTGCGACCTGGCCAAGATAAAGCAAAGCAGTGAGATAAAAACAACAACACAGAGTTACATATGGGGAAAACAAAACATAAAGTCAAAAATACTACAGAAAATATATATACAGTGTGTGCAAATGTAGCTAGATTAAATGAATCATGTAACAATTAACTCATTAGGAATTTGGGGCACCACGGGAAAAGTTGTTTAATGAGTTACCGTTTCCCGAATTAACTCTAAAGATATCTAGATATCTCTTATTTATTTACGAACTAATTAAAAATTATAACACAAGATACAAACACGTACACGGTATAGATAGGGATTAGAAACTGAATTAAATGAAAACCGGTCCCTAGCGGACTAACACAATATGCCACTTGTTACAAAAGATGGTGAGTTAAAGAGAGAGAGAGAGAGAGAGAGAGAGAGAGAGAAAACACTTGGATACACATGGACCTACGCTCATAGTAATCCTAATACTTTGCCCAGAACTGCTGCCCGTTTGGTAAGAAGTAATGCATGTATTTACGAGTTGGAGGTCTTCATCGCATATCTCTGTTGGACCCAGGCCTTCGTGGGAAGGGGTCGATTGGTCTTTCTCTTTCGGATGGCCTTTTAGATGTAAGTCTCTGATTGTCCACAAGAGGTCACAATGTCCTTCTTCTTAGTTGTCTGTTTACTTTCACTCGTTCTGGAAGTGGTCTTCTGAGGACGGCTAATCAGCCGTGTCGATGATCCCCTGTGGGGTAATGAGAGCAGTGTAGTAGACGATGGTTTGAAGAGAGTAACAGGATGGTCCCACTTAAATTCACCTTCTTAGATACAGTACTTAGAACAGCTACTCAGCCGTAGCATTGCTTGTTAGTGGAGGCAACTTTGTCGTCTTCACCCCGTGTTGATTATCAGGGTCGGGACCAAAATGGACAAAAGCTGCAGCTTGAGGTCCATCTAGTCTGATCTGATAATCTCAATCTTTTATGCATTCTGGTAAAGAGGGGCATTTCCGTCATACTGACATGCTCTCTGAGCTCCCTCGTGCGTGGCTAGATACGAGGCAAAAGTATTATCATCACTATGATTTTGTAGGAAAACATTGTCTTCCTCCTTGATATTTTCTACCCAAGGTAAAGGATGTGAGCCTGATATCCACAGTGTAAAAGCTCTTCAAGTCACAATGTTTACATTATAACGCCTTTATACAATTTTGAATGGCATCACAACATACACATTAATTTTCCATATTCCATTTCTCATCATTCCCAATGTTTGGATGTTGAAATATAGTGTCCCAATGTTCATTGTTGGATGTTGAAGTTTTTGGACCGCAAAAAGCCTCTGAAACAAAGGCATTCCTTTCACCATACTAGGATGCCAGAGATAGATTCTCCTATCTCTCTAATTTATGGCAGTATTAAGGTGTCAAGATCGGCACAGCCCCCCCGTGGGTAAGAGTGTCTGGTTGTTGTCGGCCATTTGCCAAGCTGATGTGAGGCCTTTGATCCTCACCCAGGGAGAGTCATGACAACATTGACACCCTCTGAGCACCAGTCTAGACTAGGACCTGAACACATTATAGACAGAGCAGGGGTTGCTTATATAGGTGAAATACTGTAGTCAACAGACACTAATAAACAGCCCGATACACACTCTGTGACACACTTGACTTGACACACACTTACGCACACCCTGACATACCTAACACTACTCTGGGGCAGGACCTGAACACAGCAGGGCAGACTCATACAGGTAAGATACTACACAATACAGTTCAGACAGGGTTTACAGTAGTTAATGTTTGACTCTGTCTGAGGCTTGACTGACAGGCTGTATGACAGGGCTCAGGAAGTGGGTTAGACAGAGTAAGTGTTGACTGACAGTCTCTCCCGTCTACCTAACACACATAGGGCTCTGGTTTGGGATGCAACCTGAGAGTGTGAGATAATGTGTTCTTGTCTAGCTTAAGACACCTTTTACCCAGCACTGTGAAAAAATAACTGACAAATGTTCCATATTTTCCTAATAAACACATACATTTGTTCAACTGAGCCTTCATGAAACTACACACAGAATCTACATGTTTTCCCAAAGCTTTCCCTCCTGTACTTCTCTCGTTCTCTCGCTTTTCCCATCTCCATCTTATTCTCTCACAAAGCCATGATTCCCATGCCTGATGACTCAAATTTTCAAAACGCTGCTTTACCTCCAGAGCAAGGAGTTTGGGTAGCCAGGCAAATGATTCCCCAGTACCTCTCTCTTTCCCTCTGTTCGCTACCCCTTTTCTGCTCATTCTCTCATTAACTCACACCAAGAAAACAAGAGAGAATGAAAAAGATAGTGAGGAAGAGAGGGGAAACAGAGAGGATTCATCCTTGAGCAGCCGCTGCAGGAGCCGGTATACTGTGCTATTTAGGAAGCAAAACCAAGACATGGAATAGTGGGAAGCTTCCCAAAACTTTTGGTGTTCTGTTCCTCTGGCTGTTCAAACAGAGCTGGAAAGGCCTTCATTTTATCAAAGCCCACGTTCAAACCAGACCAGGAACACGGAACACAGGCAGTGGATGAAGAAGGGGCAGGAGTTGGTGGGGAGGGGGGATGATCAAAGCCATGGTTAAAAAAATACAAACAGGAGAGGGCTTTGCGTTGTGAAAGTATCGCTCCCAGCAAGCCCTTTTATTTTAGGAGGAAGAGGGGCTGTGAGGGGAGGTAGCTTAGCAGTTAAGAACATTGGGAAAATAACCGAAAGGTTGCTGGTGTGAATCTCCAAGCCGACTAGGTGAAAAATCTGTCTATGTGACTTTGAGCAAGTTACTTAACCCTAATTGTGCCTGTAAGTTGCTCTGAATAAGAGTGTCTATTAAAATAAAATGTGAGCGTATTGTATCTATAAGGTAGCAGAGCTGGGAGTCTCAGGGCCATCTTCTCATTTATACTAGCTAACCGAGGAAGGAAAAAAGATCTACAGGAAGGGAAATGCAGATTCTTCCAGTACTGCAAGACAATATGTTTCTATTAAAGTCCCGTATTTACAGTACCTTCAGAAAGCATTCATACCCCTTGACTCAGCGTTTTCCAAACTCGGTCCCCGGGACCCCAAGGGATGCACGTTTTGGCTTTTGCCCTAACACTACACAGCTGATTAATTGATCATTTGAATCAGCTGTGTAGCTCTAAGGCAAAAACCAAAGCGTGCACCCCTTGGGGTCCTGAGGACCGAGTTTCGGAAACCCTGCCTTGACTTATTTCACATTTTGTTGTGTTACAGCC